TTTATTTTTTTGGAAATATTTAATCATTTTCACATGTAAATATGTCTTATCCATTCAATATACTTGGATTAAATTCACACCATATAATACAAAATTATATTATTTAGTATGTGAATCTTCTCACAAATATTATATTTATATATAACTATTATTTTTAGGTAGGTTTAGTAGGTACATTGTACTTATTATCTTAAATTTAATATGTACAATGTATATAATATAATATAATATAGTAATTATTTTAATGATTCAAATGAATCGTTATTGGTTTTTATTCTACACAAAATAGATAGGTAGTTTGTTGTAGTTTTATGAAATACGATATAGTATAATAAGTATGATATAAGTATGAGTATGTAGGTACCTGCATCATAATAATTAATAATATTATATAACACATTGATAAATACAAATATTTCAAAAGCTATACGTGTGTATCAAATCAGCAAACTCCTACAGTTTAATGATAACTATTCTAAAATTTTAGGAAATTCATACAAATTTGAGATTTTGATGTTTTAAAACTGTAAATTAATCTTGGATTGTAAGACTAGAAAATGTAATATTAAGTTAAAAATACGTCGCTCTAACTTCATTCAATTAATCTCGAAAATGTATATTGTAAAAGCTTGAAAGATCTAACTTACATTTTTTCTAATTAATTGTATTTATATTTTCATCACTTGTTTAAATTTAATAGTGAAATACTGAAATCTAATGAAAAAACAAATTGTTTTACCATAATATTCCTTATAATCTAGATAAAAGTTCATAATCCTGATACAATCTAGATTAATAATGTAAAATGATTTAATTAATTAATTTAATTTAATTTTAGTTATCAACCCTTATAATTTGCGTCGCACTGTTTTGCGTTTAAAACAAAATATTAGCTAATCGTTATAAAGTAATAATATATAAATTATAAACATTGAATATAAATTATTTAAATACTGTTAAATCATAATAATAACTTTAAATAAGGTTTTGGGTTCAATTTTTCAATTTATAGAATTTAATTTTCATAGTAATTACAAAGCAGGTATATTAGTACCTAGTATTAGTATATACCTTAGTATTGGTAAGTTAATGTTTGGTATAAAATAGATTTTATTCATACAGTTATATTTTGTTGTGAAGGTTTTTATCTGTTAAAAAATAATATTTGAGTTGTGAAAAATCTTAAATTTTTGTGACGAATCATTATAATAATAATGTAATAATAGAAAACGTTTTTGAACTTTTTACATTTTTCTAATCCTCAAATATCAAAACAAAAAATATGTAGCTTAATGTACATTTTCTATAAAGCTGTGAGTGCAGTGAATGTGTTTATTTTACACAACGTTGCGTCCAACACGTGACGTTTTACAACGTTTATAAAATGTGCTTTTATCATTTAGTAATCGTGGGTTTTAAATGATTAACCTTATATTTTCTCTAAAAACTACTCTGTGCCATGAAATAATGGAATTTAGAACACGAACACACATAAATAAAAACCATTTGACATTAGCTCAAATAGCTTGAATCTGACATGGATAGTTGGCTTTTTATTTAGTTTTAAATTTAAATACAAATGACAATAATACAAATTATTTACAAACTATAAATGTAGGTGTTACAGTTATTCTTCCACTACCGTGTTTGAAATATAAACTACCATAATCACGGTGGTCGAGAACTATGAAATATTTAAATGATTTATATAATTCACTCCGCCTGTACATTTAAACTGTAATAGTCAATTCCATATTAATATTTGGTAGGACATAATCAGTTGCAATGAAAAATACCTAATATAATATTAATATTGTATTGGAAAATGACTGTCTGTTTCAATGGATATAATGTACATGACCTTCTGTGATCAAATACATCGACGTTGGCTAGACATTATCCATTATGGCGCTTCTTGGTAATAATGGAAACATTGGATACCAATAATATACATTTATATATCCACGTTCATCATCTTGTACGTATTTATCGCAATTTTATGGTAATGTGTAATAATATTATGTATACCAGTATTGTATTGTCCCTTGTGTTGTGGACTTAATCCTGTGCCACGATGTATAATTATTATCTTCTCTACATCATGTTCGTATATACTCAATACTCATAGACGGATCATGTCGGGCCGGGGTATAGAATTTTGATTATATAATTATATAATTTTTCTTACGAAATATGAAAATTTTTATATTGATAAATAACTACCTAAAAAAAAAAAAAATCAATTTTATGTTATTTTTATATGTTACTAGTTGATCTCCAGTGCACTTCGGTGCCCGTTAAATGTATCAACTCTATCTTAACTTTTCCGTTGCCCTGAATACAAATTCTGATTCGCAACAGTGCATTATCATTTAGGAAATCTACTTGTGGTAGATCACGGACTGTTTGTAAGTAAGTGTATGATTTAACTCTAAAGTATCAAAGTTATACCAAGTTTGTCGTTTTTACTTAATTCCACACCTACGGTCGATTAATATCATCAATTTATACAAAATCCAATCCTTACCTAACCGTACTCAAATCCGATGAATAAAAAAAAAACAAATTTAACCCTTTATAAATTAATCCATCTTCTTGCCAGAGGTCTAATCTACCAACACAAATTAATGTATATATATCTAACTACACAGACTATAACTATACCAGACTTTAAACTTACCCTATAAAAACAAACACGTCAGCATATATATTAATGAACATGTTTATTTTATGCACACAAATACAAATTGTTTAACAGAACATAACCATAACTGAGCAAAGCCGGACGGAAAGGTTAGACGTCTAGTCGTCAACGTACTACACTACTACCGTATATACCGGTAACAGAAGATTAAAAAGTAGTCATAAAAATCCGACAATTATAAGGGCCTGACCGTTTTTTTTTTTTTACTATTACTCGTCGTAAGACATTAAATATATTGCGATAAGTAGGTAGTTGAAAATTGATCGTTGTGTTGTTATTAATTGCTACTATTTCTCTAAACATTTTCAATAACTTGGCTTTTTTATAGTGTTATATGACCCCATTTTCATCAAAATGGTTAACTACACCTATTATGAATTTAGTTTTTCAGGACTTAAAAATGATTATAGTCTTATTTTAGTGAGACTTTAATAACTCATAATAATATTGTGACGGTAATTTGAAAACCTATATTTTAAAACAAATACGTCGGGTATATTTTATTAAACAGGTTTATTAATTTGTGCACAGAAATACAATCAATACATAATATATCATACAAATGAAATACATGATAAAGAAATTAAGAAAAAAATACACAAATTATACACGTATAATTTGTATTATTTTTTTCCGTGTACATTGGGCAGGCAGGAGAGTTTAAACACAGGAATGCACTTTATGCATTTTGCGCATGCACGTAATTTATTCTCCACTATCATGTATTAATGTTAGGCTGTTATCAATATATTATCTTATCATTATAATAATACCATGATATAATTATAGGAATCAAACTATTCAAAATTTAAACATCATGCTTTACATTTTTCTTGTGCTTCGACCACACTCATAATATCTTTTGATATTTGTATACTATCATAAATTGTATATTATTAAAAATGATTCACGGCATATCTTTACCAAATAATTCATTATATATACCAGATACATTTGAAAAGTTAATAATTTTGTAAACTGAGTTGAGTCGTCTTCGTCTTGCAAACATCTGTAGAAATATTATTGTAAGTATTACGACATTACGTGTTATATAAATAATATAATATAATATAATAATAATAATTAATGTGTTATAATGATTTACAGTTTGTCATTTAATTGTTATGCTCACTTCTGAGATTCTTAAAAACATCAATTGGCATCAATTGTAAGTATTACATATTAAATAAATAATATAATATAATATAATAATAATAATTAAAGTTAAATGTTTGTATAATAATAATTCACAGTTTGATATTTAATTTTAGTTCTTTAAACATGTTAAATCAATAAATTTATTAACTATTCATTCCTATTTTAGGATGTTTTTTGATTATTGTTTTTAATTATTATCATACTTAATAGTTAATACATTTAACGATTAAACATGTTTAAAGAACTAAAATTAAATATCAAACTGTGAATTATTGTTATACAAATATTTAACCTTAATTACTATTATTATATTATATTATATTATTTATTTAACATGTAATATTTACAATTGATGACAATTGATGTTTTTAAGAATCTCAGAAGTGAGCATAACAATTAAATGACAAACTGTAAATCATTATAACACATTAATTATTATTATTATATTATATTATATTATTTATATAAGACGTAATACTTGCAATAATATTTCTACAGATGTTTGCAAGACGAAGACGACTCAACTCAGTTTAGAAAATTATTAACTTTTCAAATATGTCTGGTATGTATAATGAATTATTTGGTAAAGATATGCCGTAAATCATTTTTAATAATATACAATTTATGGTAGTATACAAATATCAAAAGATATTATGAGTGTGGTCGTGTAAAGCATGTTTAAATTTTGAATAGTTCGATTCCTATAATTATATCATCGTATTATAGTGATAAGATAATATATTGATAGCAACCCAACATGAATACATGATAGTGGAGAATAAATTACCCGCATGCTCAAAATGCATAAGGTGCATTCCTGTGTTTAGACGCTCGTGGTCAGGCCGGACGGCAAGGTCACGTCAACGCACCTACTACCCATGACTAAATAAACAGGCATGGTCACTAGATTATTTCACGCATATTTTGTACTTCCCTAGACTTGGAAGAAAAACTAATATCATAGAAAACTCATGGGAAAAAATTTTATTCCCACTACAATTACATAGGAATTTTACTGTTTCTGCCAAGTCTGGGGAAAATGCGCAGTGATAGGAAAAATAAGTTTTTTTGGTGATCATGCCTGTTTATTTAGTCATGCCACTACCTAGTACCTACTGCCGTATACGTTAAGGGATCCTCAAGTTCGCCGGGCTACAGGCTTGAGGACGATGGACCTCAAACTCTCCTCCGTTATGGACACACGGCAGTTGGTTTTCAATTCTTTCTCCTCGACTCCGGGCACGCATGCGCACGGCTTCTGCACAGTGTCACGGCGAAACGCCGCCGTGCCGGTCGTCATCGGCGGAGAAGGCGGCGGAGTAGGAGTCCCAAAATTTGCCGAGGTTACAGCAGGAGGCGATTGCCTCCGGACCGGATGTAACGGTGGCGGGCCTGCGGCGGGTGTGAACGACGCGGACGTCATAGCATCAGCGGCTGCCCCCGCGCTCGTTAACATCAACCTCAGTGTGTGGTTTATACCGACGACTTCAGTAGAGTTTTTCGTCACATCACCTACACGGACACACGTCGTTAATAATTTATTATCTATCAACTGATATTTATCTATATATTTTACTTTCAAGAACCGACACCCGCATCTTCAGTCTGCGTAGCTTGCAGCCGACGGGGTTTTCCTCAACGGATTTTTCGGTATTTGCTAAACGGACGGAAACGACTAATGTGTTACACTGTTATGGGTATAGTCAGGTCGATATATTATATAATATTACTTTCCGCGGACGGAGTCTCTGAATCTTTCAGCAGATCAGCGGTCAAATGGTTTAAATCTTTTTTAAGGCGAGACACTTCTAATCTCAGGCCGTTGATCGACTGCCGCTGCTCGTCGGCGGTCTGTTGAATGGTATATATTGCGTCGGCCACGTGATGTTTTAAAGCCAAGCAATTCATTTCAACCACTTTCAAGCTATGCTGAAAATCAAATCAAAACTGTTTATCAGTACCTCGATACTATGATTATACATTCAATTGTTCTAAAGCCGTTATTCGTTTCATACTTGCAGGTCCTTGAATGCCTGCTTATTCACCGGGTCCATATACAGTTCTAGAAAGTATGGAATTACATGAAAATAGTTTTAGTTAAAAAATTATACTCAATATAATATGTAAAACTGACCTCCAATTGATTTTACGTGCGTTGTTTTATCATTCAAGTTTTCATGTGACACTGACCGAATACTTCTCGATTCCGCATCGGACATGGTGTGAAAACTTCTCGATTCAGCATCGGACACGGACCGAAAACTTCTCGATTCCGCACAGAAAAACTTATCGTTTTCGTCCTATTAAAATAAATGGGTACTATATTATTATACTATGGGTATTAGTTATGTTCTTTTTCACGATTGAACAGGACCGTTTCGCGCATGTTAAATGATTCGATTGGTGCGTGGACGACCACGTGATCACGCCTACAACGATGCGCGGCGGCGAACTAGTTTTAGTACCGTTTTCTCGTGAAATAGAGTATAGTTTGTATACAATATTAATTACAACGTATATATAATATATTTATATGTCCTACCCATGTTATACATTATATTACTCCGTAACTTTAAATAATAATATACACTGTAAAAAAATGTTTGTTCATACAAAATGTGTGGCAACACCCCATATTATAACCCCATATTATTGTGTTTAAATCTACAACACATTAGGTGCTTGTAAATTTACAATCTTAGCAAAGTTGAATTAATGAATTAACCTATTTTATGTGTAAAATTATCAATAGGTCATACTAAAGTTTACTCATCTTTATGATTTGTAAATTTAACTATTATTATGGGTTGCAATTAACCAACATAATATATGTGACTTGTATTTTATATTATAGTTACAGATTTATAGTTAAATGTACAAGTTAAAAGTTAGTGAATTTCAACTGTCACTAATACTTAAATTTACAAACTCATAAGTGTAAATTTGCACTTATGGTAAGTTTATTATGTACCTACCTATACTTATCTAAGCTAAAAAGTATGGAATCCTTCTGTGCAAAACCTGATATGTCCCCTTTTTCAAAAAAGTTTTTTATTGTGGTTTCCTGATCAGGAAATAAAGCTACACATTTTGGTGCAACAAAATGTTATTTCCGATTATTAGTTACGGAGATAATATAAGCATAAGCAAAATGGACTTACCAGGTTTTTACATTTCAGAGCAAGAACCTGGTATGTCCGGACTCCAGACACACAAGATTTTGGCTCGAAAACTATTTAAAATGTTGTGTTTACTAAAAATGACAAATATTAAAGAATTAAAACGTTTATTATTATAATATAAGCTTACATGATATTATGTATTATATTTTGTTTACCTCCAAGACTTCGTCCTTATTTTTCAGTCCACATCCTTCAGTAGTTGCATAGTTATTTCGCCTTGATAATAGGAACGACAATCCTGCCATACCGACGCAAGCGAACGAAATTCCGACAAAAAATTCATTCGAGAAATCCATTTTGCAAAAAATATATTTTTTTTTTCAAAATAATATTATGAGTGATCTGTTTATTCACAAACCGTAGCTATGTATATAAATATTATGATCATGTTATGTTTTGATATTTAAACAATTAAACCAGATAATATTTTATTATAACAAACAATACTATCATATAATTTATAAAGTCTTAGTTTTTTTATCGAACTGCATTCACAAATAATCGTTATGAAAATCTGAATATGCATAAATTACGTCCATGCAGTGACGGACTGGCAATAGATGACGGGATGCAATTGCATCCCGGGTACAAACTGAGCCGGGCCCCATGCCCCATATACATTTGAAAAAATAATTTAAATAAACTGCTTGAAATTTTTTAAGCTTTCTAATCCGTCGTCCTTGTCGTCGAAAAACAAAATATTAGCTAATCGTTATAAAGTAATAATATATAAATTATAAACATTGAATATAAATTATTAAAATACTGTTAAATCATAATAATAACTTTAAATATGTTTTTGGGTTCAATTTTTCAATTTATAGAATTTAATTTTCATAGTAATTACAAAGCAGGTATATTAGTAAGTTAATGTTTGGTATGAAATAGATTTTATTCATACAGTTATATTTTGTTGTAAAGGTTTTTATCTGTTAAAAAATAATATTTGAGTTGTGAAAAATCTTAAACTTTTGTGACGAATCATTATAATAATAATGTAATAAAAGAAAACGTTTTTGAACTTTTTACATTTTTGAGTGATTTTTCTAACCCTCAAATATCAAAACAAAAAATATGTAGCTTAATGTACATTTTCTATAAAGCTGTGAGTTAACCTTATATTTTCTCTAAAAACTACTCTGTGCCATGAAATAATGGAATTTAGAACACGAACACACATAAATAAAAACCATTTGAGTTTTGACATTAGCTCAAATAGCTTTAATCTGACATGGATAGTTGGCTTTTTATTTAGTTTTAAATTTAAATACAAATGACAATAATACAAATTATTTACAAACTATAAATGTAGGTGTTACAGTTATTCTTCCACTACCGTGTTTGAAATATAAACTACCATAATCACGGTGGTCGAGAACTATGAAATATTTAAATGATTTATATAATTCACTCCGCCTGTACATTTAAACAGTAATAGTCAATTCCATATTAATATTTGGTACGACATAATCAGTTGCAATGAAAAATACCTAATGTAATATTAATATTTTATTGGAAAATGACTGTCTGTTTCAATGGATATTATGTACATGACCTTCTGTGATCAAATACATCGACGTTGGCTAGACATTAATCCATTATGGCGCTTCTTGGTAATAATGGAAACATAGGATACTAATAATATACATTTATATATCCACGTTCATCATCTTGTACGTATTTATCGCAATTTTATGGTAATGTGCAATATATTATGTATACCAGTATTGTAACAATCGCAATTTCAAACCAGACTTTCAAATTGTTCACTGGTGCCATCGTAATTATATTATGACTATATACCTATATATATATTGCTATAATAGCTGTATAAGTACTCCGACGGTAAGTATTCACCAAATAATAGTGACCTAAAAAAAATCTGACTTCACTCTACTATTATGGTCATATTATTTTTATTTTATTTTTTTTTATTTATTTATTTTTTTTATTTAATATCGGTAAAGATTACTAGGCCTCACTGAGTAAAACTCGTCAATTGACCATTATGATTATGATTGTTGGATTTATTTCTTGACGTATCGTTTTAGTCTACTTACCAGAGGACGTAAGATAACCGATTGAATCTACAAATGTGCTGCCAATATTGAGCGTTTAAGATTCAAAAGTTTACGACAAATATTTCAAAATGCTCATGTTTTAGTTTAAATAATATACATTAATTACAAAATAGACAACCAGCCTTAATCAACCTTTCCATAACTATAGGATCACTTACATTGGTCGGGTAGTGGTGTGTTCAATGGAGGGGGAAGAGAGATGAAAGGATAAAAGTAAGACATCAAAAAATAAATTGCACAATAACTCTACAAGACTACCACATATTATTATTATGATTTATTGTGCATAATATAATTAATTAAATATGCTTTTTGAATGAGTGTAATTTTTGTGGTTGAAAACATTTTTCCAATCGAATCAGTTGTATTGCTATGACATATTTCTGTCAGTAGATCGTCAAGGATAACAAAATGTATTTTGACTTTAATTTCATAGACGCAATAACAATCATCTCAATCACAATCACGTCAATCACGTGCAACACATTACACATGCCATCGTAAACGTCATTATCGCCAAGTGTAAATTGATTATTATTATAAATTTTTTGAAATGTTGTACTTTTCAGTATCTTCTCGATGCATTTTTTGTGCCGTAGCTTTAGGGGCTGACAGGCCGATTTCAATCTCAGCAATCCAATTTCACCAATCGCATCTTAAATTGTGCTCATTTAATTTCTTTCGAACACAACAATATTATAGGAACCAATGTATTTACTCACAAAATATTTCCACAAGTCTAGAGTCTATCAAACATAACTGCCATGCCAATAACTTATTGGCAATAAGCAATATTGTTATGTAGAATTTTAAGCCTTTATTTGTTATTCAATTAGGTGCACAAACATAGAATCAATTATTAATGAGCAGAACCGTGAGATTTTATTGTTTTTAAATCTGCACGTTTATGTAAATCAAAAATGATAAATTTACTATTCCAAATCGGTATAGCCATACATATTGCACAAACATATTTTATTTCGTTTGGTATATTATTATAACTTGATTTTTTAAATATTTATAGAAAGTGTAGAAATTATTTTTGTTTTTTACTTGCAGAAGCACAAAAACAAGAAACAGTAAATAAACCTCAAGTTAGAAGTATAGCTATGGTTACGGTACGTTTACTTTGGTACGTCCGGAAAGTTCAGCTGAAGTAA